ACACACACACACACACACACACACACACACACACACACACACACACACATTATTTAGCATCTTATATATGCTTCACATTCACATTCCTTATTTAATACATGCATCAGCCTTGTGAGATGGAGTTAGTTACCATTCTCATTTTAGAGAAAAGGAAGCAAGTTCAAAGTGCTAAGTGACATGGCCCAGGGTCATTCAGTCTTATTAGTATAGGGGCTGGGTTCACGTTTGTTTTTTGGTACTTTTTTTTTTTTTTTTTTGAGACAGAGTCTCCTTGCAGGCACAGCTAGCCTAGAACTCACTCTGTAGACCAGACTGACCTCCATCTCACAGAGATCTACCCGCCTCTGCCTTCCGAATGCTGGAACTAAAGATATGTGCAACCGTACCTGGCTGGGTTCAAGTTTGAATGTCAGATTACATAGCTGTGAGTGCTCTTAGCTCATGTGCTATATCCAGTTTTAAAAAATAGTGTCTTGACAGGTGTGGTGGTGCACGTCTTTAATCCCAGCACTCAGGAGGCAGAGGCAGGTGGAAATCTGTGAGTTCGAGGCCAGCGTGGTCTCCATAGTGAATTCCAGGCCAGTTGGGGCTACAGGGAGACCCTGTCTCAAAAAGACCAAAAAAAAAAAAAAATAGTGTCTCATCTAAAACAGTATGGGACAAAGAAACTGATTAAAAACAAAATGACCTTGAATACAGCTTATCACCTGCTGCCCAGCTCTGAGGCTCTGCCTGCCCTTCAGCCAGTTTGACAGTCTCTCAACCCTTACAGTGAAGCCCTTTTCTTCAATTTCTGCTTTAAAGCCATAGCCCCTAGAGCTGTAGTATGCATTAAGTAGCCATTGTTTTGTGTTCTGGTTTGTTAATTAACTCCAACATCTGTAACTGCCACTTAGACCTTCAGATCCATATGAGCTGAACACTGTTACCTGCTGAGTGAATACAATTCCAACCAAAAGCAAAGAAAGTGACATTTTAGTTAGCACAGGCAATCTATGAGCAAATGGATATTTTCGGTACTTTAAAAAAATCATTGAAGTTCACTTAAAACCTCCAGTGCTTTGACCTTCATAGATTGTCCCCTCCCCCAGTAGACAGGGGCCAAGTTCTTAGAGGGAAAGTAACTGTAAAGTGGGTAGGATGCAGCCTCAAGGGGTATGAGGAGGATATGGAGGCCCTCCTGGCCCTGTGTAGATGGGGTTTTGTTTTTACCCAGCCTCCACCCCATACTTTCTGCTCAGTCACCACTTTGTCACTAGATCACAGCATCTGATAGGCTCATCACGCTTCCCAGATGTAGCCCTAATCTGGAGTTGGAGATGCCCAGGAGCCCTGCCACCCAACCTGACCTGGACTATGATTGAGAGAGACTGTCTTGGCCAACCAGATCCCTAAAGTGTCTGGGACTTATGTCAGACATACCATTCTGCTCCACCTTCCCCACCATCAGCCAGGCAGGGAAAGTAGAAAGGCAATCCCCCTTCTCTTCACATCTGCCACATAGCAGCCTCTTCCCCAGCCCCAGAATGGCTTCCTCTGTTGTCTGTATAAAGTTAGGTGAGTCCCTGTGGTGGTGTCAGTCTATATGCAGCCTGCTTTTCCCCAGGTTTGATTACCCTCAGTCTCCTTAAAGCCAAGATCCTCAAGATTCTCAGAACAGGGCACCTGGAATTCATAGGATTCACAAGGCACATTGCAAAATATATTTAGTTCTGTCATGAAAATTAGAAGCTACTTTGCAGGGAATGCTGTGGCCATGTGATTTGTGGGAGAATTAAGCTGAGAGTTCATGTCTCGATTATTGGGTTAATATATAGGGACTATTATTTGTTCATCTTGCTCTCTCTCAAAGGGTAGAAGTCCCTTTAGATACTTAAATAAGATTCAGAAAGAACAGCTTCAAGATGGCACTGTCCTTCAGAAGCTTAATTCTACGTCACAGCCCCAATCTCTTGCTGGGGCCAGATATAGGCAGTCAGAAAAGGCTGCCAGGTGGGACGTTGAAGTCAGTCACCTGCAGGGGGCAGCACTGACTGTACTGCACCTGCTTGCTGGTTACTGAAGGCAGGGAAGGGCTAGATGGCCAGTCCTGATTTTCCAAGAAAGACAGGAAATCCAGATTTCTTTTGTGTGTGAAATGTTCCAATTTCAAAGCCATAAGATGAACACTGAGGGTCTGACAAAGCAACCAGCACCTATGGCAGTGCTTCTGAGGCTTGGAGTGCATCATATTTGGATTTACAGGGAGGGTCAGGCTAGGAACTCTGGTGTCCCCAGGCATGGGGGCCAGGAGGATAGGGCCTGGTATTCTGATGAGCCAGTCATTGATGGGGACAGTGGCTGAAGAGGCAGACCCTGTGGTGATCCCATCTGGTCCTCTCCTCTTTCTCCATTTTAGAGGCTCCTCGGTTTGAGTCCATCATGGAAGATGTGGAGGTGGGGGCTGGAGAAACGGCTCGTTTTGCTGTGGTGGTTGAGGGGAAACCACTGCCGGACATCATGTGGTACAAGGTTAGAGGGCAATGTAGACTACAGCAGCTTTCTGGGAACCTGGGGCATGTGCGGTCCTGGGTGGCCTTAGAAGAGTCTGGGCAGATTCTGGTTAGGAGGAGGAAATGAGATCCAGGAGTGGTTAGGGGCTATTAGCAAGAGCTAAGGGAGAAGCAGGTTCCAGTTCTGGGATTGGAGGAACTGCTGCCATGAGTGGAGACAGAAGTGGAGCTTGATAGGCAGGCCCTTGGTCCTCAGGTCCAGATGAAACTGGCTGTCTAGCATGGATGTATAGCTAGGCCCCAAGTGGCAGTGAGGCAGGCCCAGATGGAGGTAATGCCCACCTTTGCAGGACCAGGTGCTGCTGGCTGAGAGCAACCATGTGAGCTTCGTGTATGAGGAGAACGAGTGCTCCCTGGTGGTACTCAGTGCAGGAGCCCAGGATGGAGGTGTCTATACCTGCACAGCCCGGAATCTAGCAGGCGAAGTTTCCTGCAAGGCAGAGTTGGCTGTGCATTCAGGTGAGTTGGTGTTCAGTGGAGAAGGTCCAAACAGTACCACCATATCCCCCAGCTCCACCACCTGCCTAGGTACCAACATTCTGGCTCCTTTTTTGTCTCCTGAATATGCCCCACATGTCAAAATCTCTCCCCTTGCCCTTATCTTGTCCTTTCTACCTAATATGAGGACATCTGTCTTCTCCCCAGCTCAGACAACTATGGAGGTCGAGGGGGTCAGGGAAGATGAGGAGCATCGAGGAAGAAGACTCAGTGACTTTTATGACATCCACCAGGAGATCGGAAGGTGTTGGGTGGGGAGGAACTGGTGTCAGTGGTCAAGAGAAGCTGCTGAATCTGAGGGCCAGGAAGGATGGAGGGCCAGGACTGCACTGACAGCAGTGTCTTGTTACCTTCCCTGTCATCCAGGGGTGCCTTCTCCTATCTTCGGCGTGTGGTGGAGCGTAGCTCTGGCCTGGAGTTCGCAGCCAAGTTCATTCCTAGCCAGGCCAAGCCCAAGGCATCAGCAAGACATGAGGCCCAGCTGCTGGCCCGGCTCCAGCATGACTGTGTCCTCTACTTCCATGAGGCATTTGAGCGGCGCCGAGGACTGGTCATTGTCACCGAGCTGTATCCTGGGACAGGCTGGGAATGAATGAATGGCCGCTGTGACCGCTAATTGGGTGCATGCTTTGCCCTTTACAAAATGAGCCTATTGGGGCTGGGGATATAACTAGGTTGGAGATGAGCTTACCTAACATGCTCAAAGTTTAGCCCCCAGAACTATATAAAACGGGATATGCACATTCCTGTAATCCCAGCACTGGGGAGTAGATCGAAGTTATGGTCATTCTTGGCTACATAGACCACCCTGGACTATATGAGACCCTGTCTCTGAAAAAGGTAGACCTGACACTGGGTATGGTGGCACACACCTTTAATTCCAACACTTGAGAGGCAGAGGCAGGCAAATCTCTTGTAAGTTCAAGGGTATCCTGGTCTACAAAGCGAGTTCTAGGCCAACTGGGGCTATAGGGAGACCCTGTCTCAAAAAGACCAAAAAAAAACAAAAAAAAAAAAAAAAAAGAAAAAAAAAGATAGACCTGTTGATGACAGTGGGGACTTCTATGGAAGCCATTTTCAAGACTTTTAAAAAAATTCACATAGCATTTAGTGAGAGCTTGGCAGTGCTACACAGGTTTTATACCTAGTAACCTATTTAATCAGCCCCAGTTTATGACTGATACAACAGGTATGGAGAGGTTAAATAGTGTAGTCCAAGGCCCTACAGCTAGCAACCAGCATATGATGTAGTACAGTATATATGCCTGCACATTTTGGGACCCTGTTTCAGATGAGAACCTGTACCTTGCTTTACTTAAAAGGACTCCTTTCATAAAGACCAGATCTTGCCGGGCATGGTGGTGCACACCTTTAATCCCAGCACTTGGGAGGCAGAGGCAGGCAGATCCTTGTGAGTTCAAGGCCAGCCTGGTCTACATAGTGAGTTCAGGTCAGGTGGGACTACAGGGAGACCCTGTTTCAAAAAGAAAAAAAAAGACCAGATCTTACTGTTTAACAAAAAACTATACCTAAATACAGGCATATTGAGCTAAGGCTCCTGGGCTTGGCCCTCCTCAACCGGTATGGTATACCAGCCTCTCAGTCTATATTGTTCAAATCTACATTTCAGCAAACTGACAAATTATTTTATTTCATGGACCTCTGGGTCACTCTCAAATAGTCAAGAAGTTCTATCCACAGTCAACAAGACTGCTACAATTTGAGCCCTATAAATACTTCATAAGGTGGACAGGAGAGGGACTGTCACCCTCATTTCACCCTCAAGGGAACCTAGACTCAGAAAGGGCAAGAATTGTCTGAGAGTTCAAGCAGATTACCCCTATCTGCATAACCTGACATCAGGAAAGGGGGACACTGTGTCTGAAGGGTGTCAGATGTGCTTTGAGGGAAGGAAGGCCCTGGGCTGAGCTAAGCCTGGACTGAGCTCCAGGGCTGAGCCAGGCTTGTCACTGTTTTCCTTGACCTGGGACACAGCTGCACAGAGGAGCTATTGGAGCGCATGGCCAGGAAGCCCACCGTGTGTGAGTCTGAGGTGAGGGCAGTGGGTGGCAGGGGCCAGGTTCGGCACCAGCTTTCACCTACCTGAGCTCTGCATGCCATTTGTGTCCATGAGGAAGCCAAGGGTGGTGTTGGAGAGCACGGCTACACAGGCAGCAGAACTCCCTTCTTTATGAGACCAGACTGCCTTCTGTTCAACACTTATAGTGTCCTCTGTAAATGAGAGCAGACACACCCTAAACCCTAACTCCATTGCTTCTCAGTCTTCCTCATATACACATCCCCAAACACTTCTTCCAGGAATCTACCTAGACTTTGATCTCATGGCATGGCTGTACAAATTATTTACTGCACAGCTCTATTAATTATAATGTAAGTGATTGTCCCCTAGAAGTGTACTGTGTCCAACCTGTGCAGCTGTATATGGTAACTCTGAGTACCAGAATCCCCAATCCCTTCATGAGCCATCTAAAAAGTTACTGCCCAGACATAGCCTGACCTCTTGTCACAGCCCTAATGGTGATCAAGCATAGTGGCTCCCCACCTCCATGGACCCTGGGCCTCCTGTTTCCACAGACCCGGGCCTATATGCGGCAGGTGTTAGAGGGAATATGCTACCTACATCAGAGCCACGTGCTACACCTAGATGTCAAGGTAAGGAGAGATACGGAAAGCTGGCAGGAGGTGGGCATCAGGTGGGATGTCCTTCCTTTCTTAGCTCCCATACCTTGCTTATAGCCTGAAAACCTGCTAGTATGGGATGGTGCAGGAGGTGAAGAGCAGGTGCGCATCTGTGACTTCGGGAACGCCCAGGAGCTCACTCCAGGGGAGCCCCAGTACTGCCAGTATGGCACACCAGAGTTTGTGGCACCTGAGATTGTCAACCAGAGCCCTGTGTCTGGAGTCACTGACATCTGGTAATGCTGGCATGTTGGGCTATGCTGGGGACTCTCTCACTTGTCTGGGAAGAACTTCGGGAAGCCAGGATTCCTTTTCTGACTGTTGGCTGGTAGCATTGCTCCTAAGATCTCTAACTTGACCATGTAATCCCCATCCTTCATCATTCAGGGTTGACCCAGTCCCTCTGGGCCTCAGCCCTTCAGTCTGCAGCTCCTGGTCCCCTGGGTCTGGGCCTCCTCCAGTGAGACAGGTGTAGGTTCATTGGTCCCCAAATGTCTCTGGGCTTCCCAGGCCAGCCCTATCATGACTCTGACTTTGGGCTGAAGTCCTCCCTGAAGGAGATTCTCCTGTGCAGGAGGACCCATCCCTTTCAGATGGGTGGTGGAGAGGGCTACTCACTTCTTACTGGAGGTGGGCCGACTCTCACTCATGCTTCTGCTTTCCTACAGGCCCGTGGGTGTCATTGCCTTCCTCTGGTAAGGAGCCCTCTGCTGTTTTCTATTGGTCTCCTGGCTGACCCACTTGTAATATTTACAGGGCCCACAGCTCACCCTCTTCTCTTCTACACACACTGTTCCTTCCTCACTCAAGGGGCCTCATGTACATGAGCTTGGTCACTCTGGCTTGACATGTCCCAGCTCTGTCCCCCTCCACCATGCCCCTCCATATGAGGTGGGCACACTGGACCCAAGGAGTTCAGTGCCATTTTGGCAGGGAACTACCTGGTCCTGAGGGTCCAGAGTATTGACTAGAAGGGGGTACATCTCCTCAGCACAGACACCTTACCTTACAGAAAAGACACTGGAGGAGGGACAGAACTGTTCCTCCCAAACATGGGTAATAAGGTCCCAAGGCAGAATGCCCTCTCTGCCCATCTGGGGACCTGAAGTACAGGGAGGAAACCAAAAATCGAAAAGCTCTGGCTTCCTTTCCACGTTTGCCCAGCCTCTGGTGTCCCTTCATATTCAGGTCTCCATCTGTCCTTGGTCCTGTGTCCCAATGTACATTTGCACCTCACCTCAGCCCCAGCCCCAGGGTCTTGCCTACTTCTCACCCCAACCTTCTCCACCTCTGCAGTCTGACAGGCATCTCCCCATTTGTGGGGGAGAATGATCGGACAACACTGATGAATATCCGAAATTACAACGTAGCATTTGAAGAGACCACATTCCTCAGTCTCAGCAGGGAGGCCCGAGGCTTCCTCATCAAAGTGCTGGTGCAGGACCGGCTGTGAGTAGGGGACCTCCCAATTGCAGAGACCCCTCAAACCACCTTCCTACTCCTGCCAAGCCTCTTCCCTTTGATATGCAACCCCCAGCTCCTAAGAGGCCCTATTTTCTCAATTATTCATTGACAAATGAATGAATGAATGAGTGAATAAATGAATGATTGATAAATCCTCACTTAATTCTCATTCCTTTATAGGAGACCTACTGCAGAAGAGACACTGGAGCATCCTTGGTTCAAAGTGAGTCTAGTCCTCCCAAATGTGGTACAGATATAGAGGGAGAATGTTGCTAACAGCTCCATTTACTGACTTTACATGTAATAACTATGATATGCTTTATGTTATATACGTGTGTATGTGACCTATTAGCTTCACAATAGATTTGTAAAGGAATTACTCCCACTTGGTTGATGAAGAAACCAAGGCCCAAATCAGTGATCACATTGGAGTATCACAGACTCTGAGCCTAGGCCTGGACCCCTCTTTCTATCCTAGAGATCCTCTTCAGAATTCTGTTACTCAAGACCAGCCTTGGCCTTCTTCCCCCACTTTTCTGTGTTCACCTCTGTCCTGCACTGTTCCCCACATTGGTGGCTGTGTGGCCTGGCTCCCTTATTCTTTGGAGTTCCATGTAGGCAGGGTTCTCATTTATTTTCAAGCACCAGTACTCTGGAATTGTGTGTGTGTGTGTGTGTGTGTGTGTGTGTGTGTGTGTGTGTGTGTGTGTGTGTGTGTGTGTGTGTGTGTGCGTGCGCGCGCAGAAAAAGTACCTAAATAAACTTGCTGTTGAATGAGGCTGTAGCTCAGTGGCAGAACGCTTGCCTAGCATGCTCAAGGCTCTGAGCTCCATACCTGAAAAACAAAATACTTATCCTGGGTCAGCTGAAGATTGAGGTCATTCTGCTAGCACTGTTTGAAGTAAGAGCGTCTTCCCTCAGACCAGAAACAAGCCCCGGGTGAGTGAGCCCTGGTGGGTGCTACAGGAAGCCTCTTGGTCTTGACCAGCAGGGCTTCAAATGTCTGGGATGCTGGCCTTATATAGTGACAAAAGGGAGCTGGGGGCCATCAGAGCAGCCAGTGTGCCGGGGGAGGGCCTTGAGTCCTGGTGAAGCTCAAACCTGCTGGGGGTCAGGGGGTGGGGCACCTTCCAGCCCTGCCTGTTGCCTGCCTCTTCCCTTAGATTCAGAGAGTTTGTCCCAGGTGTGTCTCTGGACTGTAAGTGTTGTCCTGACAGACTCAAGGGGACAGAATCCTCAGCAATCAGTCAGTGCTTCTTGCTTTACTGTCCCCCACTAGACTTTATTTCTCAGGAGGGGCTAGGTTGACAGAGAACTGTCCTTCAGGACCTCTTTCCTGGGTTTGCAGACACAAGCAAAGGGAGCAGAGGTGAGCACAGATCACCTGAAGCTTTTCCTGTCCAGGAGGAGGTGGCAGGTAAGTTTTTCTGGGCCCTACCTCTGTCCTTTCCACATTCATTTTCTCTCACACAGCCTTTTTCCTATGGTGACCCTCACCTCCTACTCCTTCCAGAGCCTGATTTTTGTCTGATTCCTGGCTCCCCTCCTGCCCCTAGGCCTCCTTCCCTGGGCTGAAGTAGGCCTGGGAGCCACCTAGGCCTCCAGGTCTCACTGGTGTGACTGTGGTGCCTTGTTTCCAGCGCTCCCAGATCAGCTACAAGTGCCACCTTGTACTGCGCCCCATTCCAGAGCTGCTGCGGGCACCCCCGGAGCGGGTTTGGGTGGCCATGCCCAGAAGAACGCACCCAAGTGCGGGACTCTCATCCTCCTCAGACTCTGAAGAGGAAGAATTGGAGGAACTTCCCTCAGTGCCCCGCCCGCTGCAGCCTGAGTTCTCAGGCTCTCGGGTATCCCTCACCGACATCCCCACTGAAGATGAGGCCCTGGGAACCCCAGAAGCGGGGACTGCCACCCCCATGGACTGGCAAGAACAGGGAAGGCCTCCCTCTCGGGACCAGGAGGCCCCCAGCCCTGAAGCCCTCCCCTCTCCAGGCCAGGAGCCCCTAGATGGGCCTAGCCCCAGGCGGGGAGAGCTCCGTCGGGGCAGCTCAGCTGAGAGCGCCCTGCCCCGGGCCCGGTCGCGGGAGCCGGGCCGGAGCCTGCACAAGGCAGCGTCTGTGGAGCTGCCGCAGCGCAGGAGCCCCAGCCCGGGGTCCACCCGCCTGACCCGGGGAGGCCTGGGTGAGGGCGAGTACGCACAGAGGCTGCAGGCCCTACGCCAGCGGTTGCTTCGGGGAGGCCCCGAGGATGGCAAGGTCAGCGGCCTCAGGGGTCCCCTGCTGGAGAGCCTCGGGGGCCGTGCACGCGACCCCAGAATGGCACGGGCTGCCTCCAGCGAGGCAGCGCCCCACCACCAGCCCCCTCCTGAGTCACGGGGCCTGCAAAAAAGCAGCAGCTTCTCGCAGGGTGAGGCGGAGCCCCGGGGGCGTCATCGCCGCGCTGGGGCACCCCTCGAAATCCCGGTAGCCAGACTTGGGGCCCGTAGGCTGCAGGAGTCTCCTTCCCTGTCTGCCCTTAGCGAGGCCCAGCCACCCAGCCCTGCGCGGCCCAGCGTCCCCAAACCCAGTGTCCCCAAGTCTGCGGAAGCTTCTGCTGCAACACCGGGTGAATCTCCCCAGCCTTTGGCGCCCCAACCTGCCCCAGAGAAGCCCCCAGAGCCCAAGCCAGAACCAATCCGAGCTGCCAAGTCCGCTCAGCCTTCTTTGGCCCTGCAAAAGCCAGCGTTGCCCCTCACACCCTATGCCCAGATCATGCAGTCTCTGCATCTCTTCAGCCCCGTTCAGTCCCCGCAGGGCCCCGCCGTGCCTCCATCGGAGCCCATGCCCCACGCTGCTGTGTTCGCTAGGGTGGCCTCCCCACCTCCTGGAGCCACCGAAAAGCGCGTGCCTTCAGCCAGGGCGACCCCAGCACTAGCGGAGAAAGTCCGGTTCCCAACGGTGCCCCCAAGGCCAGGCAGCAGCCTCAACAGTAGCATAGAGAACCTGGAATCAGAGGCTGTGTTCGAGGCTAAGTTCAAGCGCAGCCGCGAATCGCCGCTGTCGCGGGGGCTGCGGCTACTGAGCCGCTCGCGCTCCGAGGAGCGCGGCCCCTTCCACGGGCCCGAGGAGGACGATGGCATCTACCGGCCCAGCCCGGCTGGAACGCCGCTCGAGCTGGTGCGACGGCCCGAGCGCTCGCGCTCTGTGCAGGACCTCAGGGTTGCGGGAGAGCCAGGCTTCGTCCGCCGCCTCTCGCTGTCGCTGTCCCAGAAGCTGCGACGGACCCCGCCCGCCCAGCGCCACCCGGCCTGGGAGGCCCGCAGCGGAGACGGGGAGAGCTCCGAGGGCGGTAGCTCAGCGCGGGGCTCCCCGGTCCTGGCGGTGCGCAGGAGACTCAGCTCCACTCTGGAGCGCCTGTCCAGCCGGTTGCAGCGCAGCGGCAGCAGCGAGGACTCTGGGGGAGCCTCGGGGCGCAGCACACCGCTGTTTGGACGGCTGCGCAGGGCTACTTCCGAAGGGGAGAGCCTGCGACGCCTTGGTGTTCCGCACGATCAGCTGGCCTCTCAGATTGGTGCCACAACACCTTCTGCTGAGTCCCTGGGCTCAGAGGCCAGTGGCACGTCGGGTTCCTCAGGTGAGGAGGACACTAGGTGGGAAGTGGCCATGATGAGCTAGAGACAGGCTCTGGGAGAATGGGGCTCCAGAGGAGGTCCTACTGGTGGCATTGGCAGGTGGAGAGGTAGAGGCTAGGAAGGGAGCAGGGAGAGGAGGGACTAGGTGTTTCTCTTACTGAGGGCTGTAGGAGCTGGCTGGTGGTGGCTGGGCAAGCATTTCATGAGCCTGGGTCTGCGGGCAGCTCCAGGAGAAAGACGAAGTCGGCACCGCTGGGGCCTTTCAAGGCTGCGCAAGGACAAGGGCTTCTCACAGTCAAACCTCTCTGCCAGTGTCCAAGAGGACGTAGGGCACCAGTATGTGCCCAATGAGTCAGGTAAGAGAAGCTTCCTGGGTAAGCACCGTGGTCCTCCGGTTACTGTCCTGGCTGGGTGAAAGTGGGCCACCTTGAGGAACTTGGGCAGCCATGGAAGAGGCCTCGAGTTAGGAAAACAACAATGATAATCACAGTAGCAGCTGCCATTAATTAGCAAAGCCACGTGTCCTATTAAGCATGTCACAAACGCTGTCTCATTCAATGCTACAGTATTCTGTGGAACAGCGATGGGCATCCTACTAGTTTGCAGGTGGAGAAATAGGCTTAGTGAAGTGATGCTGTTTGTCCAAGACTCAGAGATAGTAAGGAGCAGACAGAGTTGGGCTGTGTAACCCTTTGCAGCCAGGGCCCAGAAGTGGCTCCAGGTCACTCTGTTTAGGCCTTTGTTTGGCTCTCTGTCTCTGAAAGACCCTAGAATATCTGGCTGCCCTTCCTTGTCTCTCCTCATAAGCCCAGAAGGCACATATTCAGGGAAAGCAGACTTCAGGCTTCTGCAGGGAGGGAGGTGTTCTCTACCTAAGGTCACTCTACCTGGAAAAGAGGTATTACTCAAGGAGGACAGCAGCAGGGCCAGGAGGCAACCACCAAGCAAGGCTGTGCACAGGATCTTCAGCCACCAGCTCTGTCCTGGCCTAGTTTCTTATTAAATTGTTCACAATAGGTCTAGCCTTGCTTCAGTTGTGCTTGAGATGACTGCTCAGCCTTAGTCGGGGCTGTGGGGCTGTAGTGGGTGAATAGGAGGGACAGAGACCAGCTAGTTGGAAGAGAGTAGAAGGAGGGAGAAGGAGAAAAGCATCCAGCAGAGAAGTCTGGGACAGCTGATCCCTTCCTACCTGGGAAGCTCCATTTTGCTGGTGCAGCCAATTCCCTGCGAGCAATGCCCCCTGACCTCATCTTCTCCCAGCAGGAAAAAGCCTGACCTGTATCTGCTACCAACTGGGGCTGGGGAAATGGTGGTAGGACTGGCAGAGCTGGGCCAGAGTCATCTTCACCTCTCATCCTGGATGGCTTCACTCACCTCCCCCCCCCCATTACTCCCACTAGGTCTGAAGGCAGCAACTGATAAAATTATTCATAGTATGCTGGAGGATCAGAATGCAACCCCCTCCCTGGGGAACAGTGGGTACAGTGGGAAGGAGACGGTGTCTTATTCATGTTCTCCTGCTGAGTATCCCTCTCTTGACTACTTCACACACACTTCAACTCCCTCTTGGTTCTTCAGAGGTTGGGTACCCAGGTGAAAAAAAGCCCTTGTGACCCAAACCAGATTGGAGCTTTCCTAAAGGAAGAAATTCAGATCCTCATGGCTCTGAGGAACCCCAGTCCAGTAACATGGGAGCAGAGCTCCTAACCCCAGCCCAGCCTTGGGCAAGGTCACCTGCCAGTGTCTAGACAGTTTTTCTCCTATGCTGAAACAGCCTCTTTTTGTAGGTTCATCTCCTGGCTTCTCTACTGGGTATAGAAGATAATTGTAACAAACACAATAAGAGCTAATGTTTGGGCATACTTCATGCCAGACACATGCCAGTACTTCACATGCCTCATTTCATTCTTACAGCAACACCCCCCCCCACACACACACACAAAACTTGTTTGGCCCTGTCCCTCAATTCACAGATAAGAGGGCACGTTTTGCCCACAGTCATGTAACTACTGTCTCGTGCCCTTTCAAAGCTGCCCCCTCTTATGTGTCCTGAATGAGCGTGCAGAAATTGGAATGCCAGGAGCCTCCTCCAGACCCTAAGTAGGGAGAGAGGAGGAAGAGGCTGGCACCCTTCCAGGGGCTGCCCATAGAGGGTGTTAGCTTCAGATGTCTTGTGACTGCACTTTTTTTTTTTTTTTTAGCATTTATGTGTGTGTCTGTGTGGGTGTTTGTACACACCTGCCATAACATGTGGTGGTCAGAGGACAATTTTCAGGAGTCAGTTTTTTTCCTTCTACCTTGTGAGTTCAGGGAATTGAACTCAGGTCATTAAGCTTGGTGACAGAGTGCCTTTACCTCCTGAGTCATCACATTGACCCCAAGACTGCACATTCTGATCAAAGAATCTGTGTTCAGTCCATGTTAACTCAGGTCACTGTCTCTTCTCCTTTCCCTTCTTTCTCACTTGCCCTGTAGTGGTCCAGAGGGAGTTTATATTGCAGAATCTTAACTGTTAGCATTTTCAAAACGTGTTTGTTTTCATTTTAACAAATGCTTGTAGAGCACTTACTTAGTGCTAGTCCCTGCTCTAAGTGATTTACAAACATGGGGCTCATACCAAGCATCTTCAGTCATCAGTGTAAGGAGAGGATAGTTCTATTATATGCTGAAGACCTGGGAAAAGTGATGCTCACCCCTAAAAACATTCTTGAATGTGGCATGAGGTTCTACTCCACTTATGAGGTTGGCTGGGAGAGAGAACTTTTCACTTCCCTGCTGGCCCTGTCCCACCAGGGTTCTTGGATGTCTGTCCCTCCCTCAGCAGCATGCAGCCAGTGTCCTGCACACAGATGGCTGTCTTTCTCTCCTTTCAGACTTCCCCCCAGTCTTCCACATCAAACTCAAGGACCAGGTGCTGCTGGAGGGGGAGGCAGCCACCCTGCTCTGCCTGCCTGCAGCCTGCCCTGCACCCCGCATCTCTTGGATGAAAGGTAAGTAGATTGCATCTTCCACAGAGAAGGGGGTGGCAAGTGGCACAACCACAGGGGACAGGCGAAGCTAGGCCATAAGGAGGCGGAAGTAAGAGGTAAGTGAAGGAGACTTGGGCATATGTTGCCTTATTCATCAGTGCCTCCTACCCCTTCCTTCTTGTCCCTAGACAAGCAGTCCCTGCGATCAGAGCCCTCAGTGGTCATCGTGTCTTGCAAAGATGGACGGCAGCTGCTGAGCATCCCCCGGGCTGGCAAGCGGCATGCTGGGCTCTATGAGTGCTCAGCTACCAATGTCCTAGGCAGTATTACAAGCTCCTGTACTGTAGCTGTGGCCCGTGAGTTAAGGGCAAGGGCTAATGCAGTAGGGATGAAGAGGTGGGATAGGGCTTGATGGGTCCTTAGCTGGGCATCATGGGACCTTTCTTCCTCCTGCCAGGCATCCCAGGAAAGCTAGCTCCTCCAGAGGTGCCCCAGACCTACCATGATACAGCATTGGTGCTGTGGAAGCCAGGAGATAGCCGGGCACCCTGTACATACACTCTGGAGAGGCGTGTGGATGGTAAGGGCAAGACAGGATGGTGGGAGGTAGCAGGTGGCAGGCTGCAGACCCTGTCTGAGAAGACCAATTTCTTCCCTGGATAGAGGCCTCTTCCCTGGGCTCTTTACGGATAGCACTGAGACCTGGGGCCACCCTTTCTGTGGTCTCAGTCCTCCCCCATGCTTCCCACAGGGGAATCTGTTTGGCACCCTGTGAGCTCAGGCATCCCTGACTGTTACTACAATGTGACACACCTGCCTGTCGGTATGACTGTGAGGTTCCGAGTGGCCTGTTCCAACCGAGCTGGGCAAGGGCCTTTCAGCAACCCTTCCGAGAAGGTCCTAATCAGGGGTACTCAAGGTCAGTGGAAGGGGTGAATGATGGTGGCAGGAGCCTCCTTTGGAGCATCCCACAGCTTTGCCCTCAGGACACAAGGTGATGATTTTCTTTGTCTCCTCTTAGATTCTTCAGTTTGGCCAACTGCTGCTCCCCAAGACACCTGGGTTACCTCAGGGCCAGCCAGGGCCCCACCTCCTGACTCTCCTACCTCACTGGCCCCCACCCCAGTTCTTACTCCTCCAGTCCGTCAGACAGCCACTCTTAGCCCCTCAACTCCTCCCACATCCCCCAGTCAGGCCTTGTCTTCACTCAAGGCTGTGGGTCCACCACCCCCAACCCCCCCACGAAAGCACAGGGGCCTGCTAGTCACCCAACAAGCAGAGCCCACCCTGCCCAGTATCCAGGTCACCCCCAGTGAGCCCAAGTCTTTTGTCCCAGACCCTGGAACCCTGACCCCAACTTCTGCCCCTCATGGGGTTAAACCAGCGTCTTCCTCGACTTCCCTGTATATGGTGACTTCCTTCGTGTCTGCACCTCCAGCCCCTGAACCCCCAGCCCCCGAGCCCCCTCCTGAGCCCACCAAGGTGACTGTACGGAGCCTCAGCCCAGCCAAGGAGGTGGTCAGCTCCACAACACCCGAGAGCACAACCCTTCGGCAGGGTCCCCCCCAGAAACCTTACACCTTCCTAGAGGAGAAGGCCAGGCAAGCAGAGATGGGGAAGGGAAAGTGGGGGAGTGAATGGGACACTGGACACAGGAATTCAGAGACCAGACTGTCCCTTGGGGCTTGGAGAAAGATGCTGAGATGGGTCTTTAGGCTATCGAGTTCATCTGTGCTAGACACTGTCCTGAACTTGAGCCATATGCTGTTATTTAATCTTCACAACTGTGGGAGATATGCATCACCCCTGTCACAGATGGAAAAATGAGGTTTTGGGCTCTTCCCAAAGTAGACAGAGCTAGGCCTGGAACCTTGGTTCCCACAACTGAACTCTGGAGCCCACACCAGAGCTATTGCATTCTTGTCCCCTGGGTCCCTGCGTCTCTTTTTAGCCATCACAACAATAACATCCCCCTGAGTCTGTGCCGTCCCTCCTATATGCACAGGGGCCGCTTTGGTGTTGTGCGAGCATGCCGAGAGAATGCCACAGGCCGAACGTTCATAGCCAAGATTGTGCCGTATGCAGCAGAGGGCAAAGGACAAGTTCTGCAGGAATATGAGGTGTTGCGGACACTACACCACGAGCGACTCATGTCCCTACATGAGGCCTACATCACACCTCGATACCTCGTGCTCATCGCTGAGAGCTGTGGCAACCGGGAACTCCTCTGTGGGCTCAGCGACAGGTAGCTGGACATTCCTGGGGAAGGGGGAGCAAAAGTCGGGAAGGCTGGCCCAGAGACCATCTGCTCAGCCCCTGTTGCCCCCAGATTCCGGTATTCAGAAGATGATGTGGCCACCTATGTGGTGCAGCTACTACAAGGCCTGGACTATCTTCATGGCCACCATGTGCTGCACCTGGACATCAAGCCAGACAACCTGCTGCTGGCTGCTGACAATGCCCTTAAGATCGTGGACTTTGGCAGTGCCCAGCCCTACAACCCCCAGGCCCTGAAGCCCCTTGGCCACCGTACGGGCACGCTGGAGTTCATGGGTGAGGGAACCAGCAGCCATTCGGGGTGTGGGGTTGGAGGATCACCAGAGGGAGAAATGCCAGGCTCATCCCCACTTCACCCACAGATATACCATTCACTATGTGCTTACTCTTATGTAAACAATGAACTATGCCCTTTACAGGGATTTTTTTTTTTTTTTTTTTTTGAGACAGGGTCTCCCTGTAGCCCCAGCTGGCCTGGCCTTCACTATGTAGATTAGGCTGGCCTCAAACTCACAGAGAGCTATCTGCCTACCTGTCTCTGCCTCCCGAGTACTGGGATTAAAGGCATGAGCCATCATGCCCAGCAGGATGTTTCTTTCAATTGATCTTTACAATAGCTGCAGTTTGCTATAACAGTACCCTTTTTTTACAGATGAGGGAACAGAAGCACCCTGAAGTTAAGTATTTGTCCAATTGGGCAGTTATAAATAGCAGAGGTAGGATTTGCTCAATCTGCAAAGACAAGAGAATCGATGATTACTTTACTAAATAGGGAAAACTAGCTGTCATTTAGCTCTCTGCTAACTAATGCTTGTTATCTCTATTCCTTAGAGGCATTCTACAAGCCACACTTTATAGATGAGACAGTGGAGAGCCAGAGAGGTTTAGCCCAGGGTCCCATGGCTAGAAAGGGCAAGGCTGGGATTAGAGCCAGCCAGGCTGATTTCAAAGGCTCTTAATCTTGGTGTCAGCCACACTTTGTGTGAATGGGAATCCTACCTTGGAACTGATCCAAGGCAGCTTGTAAGGTTGCGTCTCAGCTCCTCTGGAGTTCTAGGAACCTCCATCATTCAGTACCTCAGGTGACCCACATCTTCTGGCGGCCACTCCCACTTCTGTCCTGTCTGATGATCTATAAGGCCTGCTGCCTGGTTGTATTCACAGTGTGGTGACCTGAGCATTGCCCTGCTCCCAGACACCCCGCCCCACCTCTCCCTGTTCCCTTGCCACTGGGAACCTAGGTCAGCTTGGCCTCTGTCTCCTGTCAGCTCCTGAGATGGTGAAGGGAGACCCCATTGGCTCTGCAACAGACATCTGGGGAGCTGGTGTGCTCACCTACATCATGTGAGTAGCCTGGCCCTGCTCCAGTCCCCTGCCCACCCCTGCCTGATCCTTCCTTCTGTCTACTTCAGCTCATTGCCACTTCTGCCCACACTTCCTCCCTCATGCCCTACCTCCTCAGTACACACCAGGTGGCAAGATGGCACTGTTCCCCAGCACAGTGACCCTTCCCCAGACCCCCCAATACTAATGTCTCCCATGCTTGACAAATGACCATCAGTCTACTAAAGGAGAGACAGTGAGGGGAACATCTGTGTCAACTGAACGGTCTTCCACAACAGGCTCAGCGGACACTCCCCATTCTATGAGCCAGACCCCCAGGAAACAGAGGCTCGGATTGTGGGGGGTCGCTTTGATGCCTTCCAGTTGTACCCTAACACCTCCCAGAGTGCCACCCTCTTCTTGCGAAAGGTCCTCTCAGTACATCCCTGGTGAGTAGGTCCCTTTCTCCCGAGCCCCAGTATTACCTGACTGGATGCAGACTGCCCTGGCCTCACTTGCAAAGACACCTGCCCCTAACTCCTCTGTGCCTGAATCATAAAAATGGTGCTACCTACATTTAAAGCCCATAACAGCCCTAGGAGAGGCAGAATCACCATCCCCATTTCAAAGACTGGGAAATTGAGCCCCTGAGCTACCTAGTATCACACAAATATTGGTGAATCCGAATTGGGGGAGGGTCAGGGGAGATTGTCCATTCTAAAGAGGCTTTTTGCTGGCTCATGGTTCCTGGCTGGCCTGGCAGGAGCCGGCCCTCACTGCAGGACTGCCTGGCCCATCCATGGCTGCAGGATGCCTACCTGATGAAACTGCGCCGCCAGACACTCACCTTCACCACTAACCGGCTCAAGGAGTTCCTGGGAGAGCAGCGGCGACGTAGGGCTGAGGCTGCCACCCGCCACAAGGTGCTGCTCCGCTCCTACCCTGGCAGCCCTTAAGTAGCATGGACCACAGCCCAGCCTCAGGCTTCAACTTGGGTTCCCAGTGATGCTGCTGAGGGACGTTCCAGGGCCCACACTGACCTGGGCAGGCCAGGGCTTCGGATACCACAAGCAGCAACATCTGGCCAGGCTATTACCTCATGGACCTGAGGGGACGAGGCCCCTGGGCCTTCGGCTGGATATCACCCCAGCCAGAGCCAGAGCAGGAGACCCAGTGGCTAGGCTGAGAACAGGAAGAGGCAAGAAGAGAGTGGAGAAGTGAAGAAGAAAAACACTGAGGATAGGGAGGGAGGGACTCAAGGACAGTTCTGGGGTGAGTGTGGGTGTGGTGCATCTCAGGGAGTACCCAGGAGAGGAAGGAGGAGGAGGAGGAGGAGGAGCAGTAGCAGCAGCAGCAGCAGCCAGGGTATGGTGACTGAGCTTGGAGTACGAGTACTGGACATGGAGCTAGAGCCAGGATGTAAGGGAGGACAGAAAGGTGAAAGGCAGGGAGAGCAGGCTCAGGGGAGGCGCAGCAGGCCAGCAACTGCATCCCCAGGAGAAAGGAGAAAGGCAAAGAGCTGTGGACCAATGGCCATCCAAGCTTGGTCTCTTGTCCCAGCAGATGCAGCTCTGGGCACTCTACACTGGCCCAAGGACATCCCCACTGCTCCTCCATGGCCTTTGCCCTTCTTCCTGTTTGTGTTTATTTATTTATTGACTTTTATGGCGTTTCCCTTCCATCTAATCCCTATCGCCTATGTTGTTCTGACTATCCCCCCAGCCATCCAGCTGTCTGTGCAGCTGTCTGTCTGTCATAAGGAAAATAAAAACAGCAAGCAGCAGGACCTATGTGTGATCTCTGGGTGGGAGGAAGGGAGGAGACCAGGTGGTTTGGACTGAGTCCTGGGTGGGGCAGACTGGGTGACTTGGAGTGAGTCCTGGGTGGGGCTTCACCCTTCTCTGGGTAATGACACATTCAGAGGTATAAAGGGTATGACAGTTAACACCTTGGGGCCTTCCAATCCCTGCCTTGACCCTCATTCTTATTTCTAGAGGAAAGGGAGATTGGTCTGCTTCTCACCCTGAAATTTCTGGAATACTGACAGACCTACTGAATGCCACAATCCCCTCTAATTAGACCCCAACGTCTCACCTATGCTCATACGTTCCCTCTTTGCAACTTGAAAGATTCTGGACTCTGGAATGAACCAGCCAGCCTCTGCTCAGCCTCCTTTACTCTAGTCCTTCCCTAGGAGTGGGGAGCAGAGGGTTTTTGTCACAGTGGTTGGTGAAAGGAGGCAGTGTGAAGAGCTGTAGAAGGACCCAGGCTCTTGGGATTAGAACACAGATCAGAATGAATGGAGCAGCTGTGAGTGCTCAGAGCAGCCATGCTCAGCCTTTTCCTAGGACTGAGGGAGACATGAGGCTGGACCTTCTTGTTTCCATGGAAAGTTAGGGGTCTCTAGGGTGTTAAGGTACCCTGACTGGCCAATCCCATGCAGTACCTAAGAATGGTCACTGAGTCCCAGAACTGAGCTGCTGGCCCGAGTTGGGGGAAAGAGGGAGCCAGGTTTCCTGTGCTCTACCTTGAAGCTCTGCTTTTGGCAAAGTGGAACAAGCTTCCAACCATAAACAGAGAGCACTGGCATTGGTGTGCTGCCAATTGAGTTTGAGGACCCCTTGACTCAAGTTCCCACAGCCCTTTGCCCATTGTAGGCCAGTCACCTGCTTCCCAGGACCTCAGGGAAAAGGCAAGGCCCATCACTCCAAAGTAAGATGTTAAAGCTAGCTAGAAGTGATGAGAGAGACAGCTTGCCCACCTGTCATCTCAGCTATGAAGATATACAGTTTGCCTGTGAGGATCTCCAATGCCCTATACACTGTAATGTTTCCATATCAAAATGAGGTGCCTGAACTCATATCTTGGTAAATGGTAAAAATTCCTCTCCCATCCCCACTTTGATCTTCCTATCTCCATTGAAAATGGCATGTGAACTGCTTATTCCAAACCCAGAGGAGCAAAGGTAATTTATGTCAGCAGAGTAGTGTCAGAATTGTTCTGATCAAAAGGTGACAGTGCTCCACACTGGGTGAGTACTTACAATGGGTGGAAGCAGTGCTCCTACCTGGCGCCCTGGCCTGGGCAGACTGGACTTCAGTTAAGCTCCCAAGGGATGATCTGAACCCCTTTACCACAGGCAGTTTGATGCCCCTATGCACTAATTTATGCCTCTAAAGGACTTCAGCAGAACTAGTGGCCAAGGAGTCAGTCATAGTGCCAACTTTCAAGGATAGTGCTGACCAACCAGATCCTACCCTGTCACTAGATGAGTGAGTGGGAATGAGGGTGACATTGGAGGGGACTGTTCTTAAAATCTTTCCTGCCCCCCCCCACTTTACTTCTGCTTACCACAAGGGGGCATAATGAGGAAGGATGACTGGAGACTCTGGGGTCAAGGGTGGTTCTTTCATGATTGGCTGTATGGACCACAAAGTCCAAGGCTACTCTTGGTTCATTCAAGGACACTTCCACAAATACTTGCACTCCTTTACCTTATGATGTCAGGGAAAGGGCATATTATCTGACTGCCTAGAGACTAAGTATAAAGCTGCCCCAGAAGTTAGCCATGTCTCTTGTTGGCCACATCTGGTTCTCCTGGAAGTGGGATGGCCCTTGCCCTGAAAGGGGATGAACCATGTCTGGCTGTCTAGCTTCAGGTGCTGAAGCATGGTATACCCACAGAGCAGCTCAGGTTTCCCTACCTGGGCCTGTCCCAGGGGCTGAGCCAGCATCCCAGGCATCCTAGGGCTATATAAGGAGCTCACTTAGGTCATTGAGTTGGGGCTAGGAACCTAGGGGGCTTGGGGTAATCATGCCAAGAAAAGACAAGGATAGGAGCAATGTATAAAATTAGGGCCTAAGGCTGATTACCTGCCTGTACACCTGCTGCAGCATCCAGGACTCTGTGCTGCTTACAATCCAGCCAGCCAACCGAATTCTCGAAGTCAACCCCCCCTACACACACCAAAGGGCTAGTCCATTCCTTAGAGAAGTTTCAGACATTCCCACCCCAGGGAGGGTGTTCTCCTTAGGCAAAGAAAGGACTGAAAATCAAAACCTATGGCTCAGCCTGGACACCCCACCCCCGCTCCCTGTTTGTTGTCTACTCTCTAGAAGTCCAAACCAACAGCTCCACTTCCAGGATATACTTTGTATATCAATGACCCCCAGGTCCAGAGTGGGGTCATTCGAATCCAGGCCTCCTACAGGGGCCACAGGTAAGAGGGGTCCCCTGGAGCTATGGAGAGGAAGGGAGCTAGACAGGCATTACTGTTGTATTGTAAACCACTACTCATTGGGCTGAAGTCTAGAAAGGCAGCTGGCAATAGAAAATCATTTTAAGAGAGTTCAGAGGGCAACCTCCTTCCTGCCCATCCCAATTTCCAGGTTAAGTGTCTAGTGGATCAAGGGGAAGGGGAGGAGATGGTGTGCAGGTAGACTGAGCCAGGAGCAGGTCTCAGCAGTATTATGGGAGCTTTGGGTAGGTCCTGAAGGAACTGCACAAGAAGAGCCACCCCAGATTCTAACAGGATGTGGTGCTGATCCCAGGCAGTGCAGCCAAGCTGACTTGCCACATTTTGGCTTTCCCTGACTGGTTCATCCACTGGAGCAAGGATCACAAGGAGCTGCATTGTGGACCCAAGGACCACTATGTGTTTGAGGACCCTGTTGTGTTGGCTTTGGTGGTGCATGATGGCAAGCTGGCCGACCTCAGCCAGTAGCATCCCTTTGGCCAGTGCTCTGACTCTGTGCATATCCTCGTGGAAGCCATGTTCCCACTCTTGGTATAAGGCCAGGGTACAAAACAGTACCACCCCAAGGGCATCTGCAGCCATTGGGTCCAGCGAAGCACACCATTTATTGCTTGGCCTAGCCAATCCGGGAGTCCTGACACAATTCTGGAGAGCCTAGTCTCAGTACAGCAGGACAGTCCCAAAGTCCTCCCCTACTTTGGGACCTAGCTGCACCCTGACTGGGAAGTCAGCTGTGGGCTTCCATGTAAACTCCTGGGCCCCAAGGTCACAGAGTGAGCCAGAAGTAAGGCTGGGGTTAAAGGCAAGTTTTCTGGCTCCCAACCCAGGGCAATTTCCATTACTTAAAGCTGTCTCCAATATATGGAGAGCATTCCCTGGCTTCTACCCAATACCTTTCTTTTGATCCCCTAGTTGACCTGAAGGAGGGGCGGGGATCTGTTTAATTACTAAGGAGATAAAACCAGACAAGCTAGTGATGTGTCCAGTATCATACTGTGAATACCAATGCATGTGGTAATTTAGGGCAGTATTTGGTGGGGATGTGATGTCCTTGTCCTTACTTCAAGATCCCTTACACTTCGGTTCCCCTGCCCTTTTTGTAGTTCCAGCTAAGGTTCAAAAAGGACCTGACAACCCTAAGGCGTGCAAAGGCACCATGATAGCACTGCCAGCAGAGATCCTGGGTGAGGGCCCGACTGGACCAAGGACAGAGAGGACGTAGAGGACGGCAGGCAGGGCCAGGACCTGCAGCAAGCAGGGCCTGGGTCTAGAACCTGAGTGGTACTGTGCCCAGAAACCTTGCAAGGGGTGGGGAGCTGGATGGCAAAGAACAAAGCTGACTACCTAGCGTGGCTCACTACTCGGTAAACTAACCCACAGCCAGCTCTGCCCTCCCTCTCTCCACCTCTTCCTCAGGGTCTTCTTTGAGATTGGCAGGACTACCACCATGCTGACCATTCACCGGGCCAGCCCAGGACAGCAGTAAGTACCAGGTGTACATGGAGAACAGCCTGGCCAGGGACCAGAGCGTTACTCGGGTGAATGTGGCCTGAAAGGGGCCCTCAGACCTTCCCCCCTGGCTGCGAGCCCAGGGGCGGGTGGGACGCACAACTCTCCTCTGTCTAGCTTAATAAAACTGCCTTCTCTCTGATCTTCTGCCTCTTTTGTTCTTCGACCTCGCCTTTTACTCTCCCCACCCTTCCCCCCAATACTTATTTCAAGACCCATAGGCCAAGGTCACAGATGTTGGAGTCACAAGGAAGTCTGGAGAGCGCCTAGTCTCGTGCTTTATTTTTACAGAGAGTAAAACCGAAATAGATTTCCGCTCACCGTCGAACTTCCCCGCGGGAAAGGCAGCGGAGCTATGATCCCGCCTCCTCTACTTTGGCTCAGCCCAGGCGCCCCCTCCCCTGGTTGTTTGCGGTCGGGCCCCGCCCCTTCCAAGGATGGCCACACCCCTATTCTCCTGTGACCAAGTTCTCCACTTTGGCCGCTGTCCCCAGACCCAATGCGGGACAGCTTGGGGTCCCAATCTTAGGTTCCAGCCCCTGCTTCTGAGCCTTCCCCCACCCCCAAACTCTTCTCATTAAGGCCAGCTCCTCAATCTCTTGATCAGGCCGCGGTTTTCCGTCACGCTTTCCATCTGTCTCATAAAGTTAGGGATAACTCTTTCAGAACTACAATTCCCGGCAGTCCCTGCGAGGGATTTCTCGCGATTGGCAAGGAGACACGTATGCGGAAGGAGCCAGCAGTAGCGGGCGACAGAGCCAGCATAAAGGGAGCTAGTGGTAAAGGGACCTACCTGGTGGAGGGGGATGGACTGGGGGAGGGCAGGGGATGGACCCTAGACGGAGGGAGGGCTCGGAGGTCCAGTCTGGCTCTCCGTTTGTCCATGCTTGTGTTGGTTCCATAACCCCTTGCTGCGAGAGGCTAATGTACTGAATCGAGGCAGTTGGGGGGCTCCAGGGGATCTGCAATCAAGCCTCCGAATCCAGAGATTCGGCACCAGTCGTCAGTACCCGTACTCCAGAGGCTAGTAGGCTCAGTGGCCTGCTAGTAGGCCTCAGTGTTTTGATTCAAGCCTTAGCATATGCAGATAGTTTTAAGGATTCAAATTCACCTAGAGATGCTAGGATTGGGGCTCATCAAATGCAGATTTAATGTTAGTTCAGTGCTTGAGGATCATGCTTAGAATTGAAGTTAAATATCCAGAGTTCACTTAGGGTTTGTGGTTCCATATTCACACCTGGGATTTGAAGCTGAACATCAGGAAATGCAGCAATTTGAGATTTCAGTTTTCTTGAGGTTTGAGGTCAGAGAAGGGGGTCCATTTCGTTCCAGAATTTAGAGTTTGTTCATGGCCAAAGGGAAGTCTTAGAGATCAAAGCATGAGGTGTGTGTTTTCACATTTGTGTAGCATCATTGTGGTTTGAAAGCCAAATGGAATAGAGATTGGGATTTGAGATGAAATTTGTGGTGGTGTGTCCAGGGAGGGGCTATATTGAACATTGGATTTATACCCTAGGAGTAAGCTCTGTTTCTATTTGGAGTGTGAGATCTGAGTGTAATTTCTCTGTTGGGATTTGAGGTTTAGGTAGCAATCTCCCATCATGCTCAAAGCTGTGATCCTCATTGGAGGCCCTCAAAAGGGTGAGGAGCTGGGATTTAGGGGAGGTAGTGGGCTGGAGTGGTTGATGGGTGGGGTCACAAGAAGGCCAGAAGCTGAAGTGTACTCTCCTCTCTCAGGGACTCGCTTCAGACCTTTGTCTTTTGAGGTGCCCAAACCACTGTTTCCTGTGGCAGGTGTCCCTATGATCCAGCACCATATAGAAGCCTGTGCTCAGGTAACCTTAGAGGGTTCGTGCTTCCATTATATTTCTTGCTCATCTCCTGCTTGGTGTGTTTCCCCTTTCCCAGCCATGGTCTCTTCCAACCAGGTGTAACTCCAAGGGCCAGCATTTACAGATGTCTGTGTGAATGGTTCTCCCTTGAGTTGTGCAGTACTGATGTCCTTGGGCCACTTGCTGCTCAGATTTCACACCTAGTTTTAAAGTATGAAATGTGAAGTCAAGCAGGGATCTTAGAGATAATTTAGAGCCATAGCATGGTGTCCTTTACTGATAGTAGAGCACAGGGCTCATCCTCTACCTCCATTTCTTTATTGATTTATTACTGGGATAGGCAAGGTTTGGGATTGAATCCAGTCTCTCCCTGCTGTGAGACCTGAGCAAACAAACTTCCCATCCTCTTTGTGGTCTACTTCCCTTATGTGTAGAGTTAGACTTCCTTTGTCGAATAGCAAAGCTGAATGCAGTTTTGTTCAATGCAGACCCTTGATAAATATTACCTTCATCCCATGCTGATGTCAAGCTTAGAGTAACAACTAAGAAAATCAGAGGAAGTGCTGGGAGATGTTTCATTCATGCCGCACAAACATGAGGACTTGAGTTTGATCCCCAGAACCCATGTGAAGAACCAATCATGGTGAAGAGCATTTGTAATCCCAGCACTGAGGAGGTGGAGACAGGCAGATCCCTGGGCTCACTAGTCAGCCAGCCTAGCCTAATCATTGGGTCCTAATTGAGAGACCCAAGGTTGCTGCACCTAAGGAAAGACCTGAGGTTGACTTTTGGCTTCTGTGTGATTACATACATATGGGCCTATGCAACCCCATATACATGAATACCCACAAAAAGGCCAAGCTGTAGCTCAAAGATAGAGCACTTACCTAAAATGTGTGAGGCCTTGGGTTCAATCCCCAGGAAAGAGAGAGAGAGAGAGAGAGAGAGAGAGAGAGAGAGAGAGAGAGAGAGAGAGATTAGATTATACTTTAATGTAGCTTGGTAGACAAAGTCTTTCCTAGAGTTCCCAGTTCAAGTTCATGGGAGAATATAAAAATGGAAAGATCTGGGCTGAGAATTCTTATAACTTCTTCATTGTCCAGAGAGATAGCAAGCCAGAATGATCAAGTGATTACCCAGGGGCCCAGCTGAAGCTGAACTTATGGCCTCTGGACTCTTCTGGACCAGTACCAGGATCTCCCCAATTCCCATCAGAATTTTCTCTCCCAACCTCTTCCCTTGTTCTCAGGTCCCTGGAATGCAGGAAATTCTGCTCATTGGCTTCTACCAGCCTGATGAGGCCCTTACCCAGTTCCTAGAAGCTGCCCAGCAGGAGTTTAACCTTCCAGTCAGGTGTTTGAACATACATGTATATGGGGAAGGGGGGTGGTCTTTGAGTTCTTGGGAGTGGGTTGAGTCAGTATTTGCCAGGGTTTACCCCCATGTGTGAGGGATTCTCATTAAAGCATCAGAATTGCTCTTCAGAGGTACTCCTGACAAGGGCAGAAGTGTTCAGGATCGGGGAGTGGGGGTGGGGGGAGCTGGTTGTCAGGTGCTCTGGCTCATAGTATCTCACTGAGCTGGCTGGGGTCCCTGGGGACAGGTACCTGCAGGAGTTTGCCCCTCTTGGCACAGGGGGTGGTCTCTATCATTTTCGGGACCAGATCCTTGCTGGGGCACCTGAGGCGTTCTTCGTGCTCAATGCTGATGTCTGCTCTGACTTCCCCCTGAGTGCTATGTTGGATACTCACAGACGCCATCGCCATCCTTTCTTACTCCTTGGCACTACAGTGAGAGGGCTGGGAGGGCTGGAGGATGTGGGAATGCAGGAACAGCCCTGGGTCTTGGAGTAGGAATGGGTGCTGGGAGGGAGATACACTGTCCCCAGCAGTAACAGTGGTGTTATTGGCAACCCTGAGCCCTTTGGCTGCTGGGAAGTAGGGAGGGGGAGGGCAGCTGTCAGCTTTCAACCCCACTGAAGGCCTGTCAGTGTCAGAGCTGCATGCCAGGTGCTATAGGGGAGGGAAAGAAAAAAAGAAAACAGCCCTGGCTACCCTGGAGCAGGCAGGTCACTGTCTCTGTCTTTCAGGCTAACAGGACGCAGTCCCTCAACTATGGCTGCATTGTTGAGAATCCACAGACTCATGAGGTAAGAGCAGAGTTGGGGGGGAGGGACTGGGCAGGTGTCCATACTGCATGTGATCATTCCTGTACACCATACCTCTAGAGAATGCTGGGAGCACTTTGAGATGGGCCCTGTTCACGTTAGATAGGACAATGTTGTATGCCCCTGACCCTGCCCTTATGAATCATCTTGTAGCCTTTTAAAAGAAACTGGCAAGGGAAGGGGGTGTTCATTCTGTAGGTGTGGTGCCATAATAAATATATACACAGGGTGCTATGGAGCATACAAGGGAGGCCCAACAGAGCCTGAGGTGGGGCACTTCCTGCAGGAAGCAGGACAAACTGAGTTAGACTTGTGGAGATGAAGGACACTGAAGGTTTTGCAAGTAGAGGGAACAGTTGTGCAAAGACAGGCAAGTAACCCAATGTTCCATAATTACTGTGGTAGGAGCACAGTCCCTAAGGCGGAGGAGTCCTGTCCTCATTTGTGAAAGTCCTTGCCCTGAACCTCACTGACTTTCACAGGCCCTTGTTATTTGTTCAGACTTTTATATA